TTAACTATAAGCATTAAGTGATGTTAACACATAAAAGGGGATTCTTTGACTTTCCTTTTATTACCTGTGCATATGCCCGTAAAGAAGTATTTTCTTTCGTTTTCAGCCCATAATTAATAAAGTGATTATGGCTAAGAAAGTTACTGCTGCATAATACAGTTCTGCTAATTTGCAAGATTCATTTAAGAAGCCAATGTGGTATAGTACAGAATAATAAGGCTTAGGTCACAAGGAATCAGCTTGGCTTCTGAAGTTAAGTTCATCTAAAAACTGAAGAATTATTTCAAGTCATCCTATGGCCAAATGTGTGATTCTATGGTAAATATGGATATGTAAAGGACCTAATGAGATTCAGAGAAAAACAGTTTGGGCTGTAGTTTTTTATAACTTGGAACTTGCAAAGATAATGCCTGGAACTTGAAAGTGTTAATATATTTGAATTGTCCAGTGTAGATCTGCAACAGATGTTTTAGGAGAAGGAATATCATGGGGAATAGTCAATAAATATGTGGGACTATAATAGCAACAATTTTGTTTAGTGGTGCTTTAATAAGTAGAAATCATTTTCCAAAATAAAACACATTGAGTACCTTTGTGGCAGCCATGCTTATAGTAACATAAAGATAAAATAAAGTGACAACTGAGGAAAGAGATGGGAAGGGCCTGACATCTTAAAAGCAGTGGCATCATAGTGGTACCAGCATCAAGTGTAAGTCAAAACACATGTTATCCTGGTTCTGTCACTTGCTGTGGAACCTTGGAAAAATTATTCAACCTATCTGAATGCCTGTGACCTCATTCATAAATATAGTACTGATGTCTACCTCTTAGGTATGTGTAGTGAACGTATGTGTAATGAACACATGTTGTAAGAAATGGTGAAAACATTTTGTACTCTGGAAAACATGTATACAAATGTAAGACAAAATGATTCCAGTGGTATTTAATGACTTAATAAATATTGGGAATAGTTTTTTTAAACCTCAAGGTAATAGTGTCAAGCGAGGAATGGGAAAGTTAAGAAAGTTAGAATGGGCATGGGGATTTCTAATTTGGGGCATGTTAAGTTTCAGCCAACTATTACTGGAGATATACTATAAGAATATAGTAATTTGGTGCTTGAGAATGTCCCAGTGAGATTTTACATGTGTTGACCTCAAATACAAAATAAATTTTTGATATTGAGTACCAACTATGTGCTAAGTAGTTAGACACTGAATATATAAGATGAAGGCGTATGCTATAGTAGTAGGAACAGAAAAACAAGGAAACAACCATCACTCCTAACTCTCTGTAAGTGCTTCATACAAAGAAAACAGAATATTAGGTTAGACAATATCGAGGAAGATTGTAGTTAGGATGGGGAAGGGATCAAGAGTGGAAATCTACAGTCACTACTTTGAGACAAAGACAAAGTACTGTTTAAATGATGGGGGAGTTAGGGGTCCTGCAGAATTCCCATGAACTGTGAGGTCCCTACTGAAATCCCACATCAGTATTTATTGTTACAGCAAATAGTTGGCTTTTGTTAAAGAATTATGTGGACAGCTCATTTTTTGAGGTTTCCAGGGGAACCTTACCTAATTCTGTCTACAAGAATAGATGGTTACAAAATTTTTCTAAAATAAGGATGTTAAGCCCTAAGTTAGAAACAGACCTAGCTGAGTGAACATACAAATTAAAGATAAAATGTATAAAATGAGAACACTGAGTCTGTGTACTGCTCTAATCTACTTCTTCGAAACACAGAGACATATAGTTAAGAGTGAAGCAGGAATAGCCTTGAAGTCTAGGATAGTTCCAGCTGCATGTTATCTGCTGGGCAGGCATTTTAATCAGCTTCTCCAACAAGGACCCAAACCGAGCTTCTCTGCCTTACAAAAAACCTCAAGGCAATAGCCGGCAGCAAAGAAGAAACGTTGCTCTGCAAATGTCCTCTGACAATGCCTCCCTTGTTGGAAGCAGCTTCTATTCTGTGAATTAACATGTCCACAGATTCCTTCAAGGCAAAGCCCTGAAAAACCCCTGAAACCTATCACATCTCTTAGCCTATTTCCCAACATAGGAGGAAGACATTTTGGACAGAGAGAACAATGGATCACATGTGTTTATCATTTTACTCTGAACATCCTGGAAAGACCAGGAAGCAGGAAAGGGGGTAACCATCTTGATCATCAATTTTATCTTTATTACTATAATGCATGGAAAAGAAATTGTGCAAATAAGTGCCTGGAATACTTTAGATGCTTCAAAATAAAATGTTCTTATTCTTCCTTCCCTTTATTTTAATGCTTAGTATAGTTCTTGAAGTCATTTCTTAATTGGGAAAGAGTTGCATACTATATCTAATATCTGTATGCTTTTATTTAAATATAACATAAAAGTTTTTCCTAATACTATATCATTTTATTCAACCACTTTTCTATTAGTAAAAATTTTGTCAAAATATATTAAGATTTTTCAAAGCTCTTATTTACCTAAATAAAGCAGCTACAATAATGTTTGGTTTATACTGAACATGACATACTCCAAAGTTTCTTATCATGCCAAGTATCAAATTTTAACACTAAAAAAGTCTTATAATTAAAAATTATAAATGTTTAATGCTGCAAATATTATAGCAAGTGTACTGTATCTTCTAAAAATGTTCTGTTATTTTGGGGAGGAAATGTAACATGCAGTCAGTTGTTTCGAATTTAGTTCCTTGTTGGAATGGGCACATACATTCATATTTTGTTTGTGAATATGTTTCATTTGGCCTTTCATGCTCCATGTGCAGGCCCATGCACAGTTAAAGATGAACTTGATCTAGTCAACATATATATACGTAGTTCTATATTGAAATGTTTTGGTTTTCAATACATGCTTCTCTTATTCTTATGTTTAATTGCATTTAAAAATAACTCAGATATTTTTGAAGAAAGCGATTAGGAAATGTTTATGCAAGTTATTATTTCTTTTATGGCAACTCATATTGATATTAATTTTAACAGAGTTCCTCAGAGAGTCTTTCACAGAAGGATCTCAGTCTTTCACCTGGGACTGCCAGTCAAAAAGATAAAGAAACAGTAAATTTACAAGTAGGAGGTAAGAACTGTATTTTACTGGGAAAGACATTTTGACTCACCAAATCAGGGATTCTGCATTTCTACTACGATCTGAGGTTATGCCAATGCTGCTGGTCCTTGGACCATCCTGAGTAGCAAGGGCATAGAATTCCCTGTAGACAAATCTGAAAGAAGGGCTATAGACAACAGTTCCAACATTGTAGGATCAAGGGAAAGCATTATTTTGCCTTTATGTCAGAGCATGTTTCCAGCCAGAGGGGAAAAAGCAAAGAGGTGAAGAAATCGAAATTATATATATATATATCACTGCTAAATATAGAGGAAAAAAGTGGTAGAAATAATCCATCAAAAGAATGGAGACCACAGATCTGGTGATTACTTCTGCAAATGAAGAGGGAATATGAGTGGGGAAAGAGAGAGGAAAGGAAGAAGTTAGCTAGGTAATTTTGCAGTTGATGATAAGGAAAAATGAGAGAACTACTTTGGATGGACTCAGGAAATTTGCATTTACACAAAACATTGGATTATTTCTTTCCCAAAGATAACTGGAAACAAGAATTGAGGTAAACCACAGAGACTCATTTCTCCTCTCCATGATTGTCAGGCATCAAAGATACATGTGTTGCCTTGATATTAATTAAACAAGACTAATTTAAATTTAGAAGCATTGATTTTTTTAAGAAAGCTAATTTTTTCTATAAAATAGCTATTTCCTAAAAATCCTTAAGAGATTAACGTGATATACACAAGGAAATTAATTGTAGAAACAAAAAATTACAGAGCTTATTT